GTGTTGTGCGTGTACTTGGCGCCTGTTTTTACCTTTTTTTAAAAAGGTAAGTTTTTAGAGTATCACATTACTGTCACACGCGTTATTATACGAGCACATTCCGAGACCTTACGCATTTTGTCTTTTCACGATTAACTTTCAGCTCTCGCTGAATCGGCTGACTGAAATTTTGTATCTTTCACGATAAAAAATGTCCATTATTTGACTTTGCGTTGACTTTGTTATCAATTTTGGTAACGATGAAAATCAATAATGAAAAAGTAATGTTAAAAAAAAAAACAAACAATATTTATTCGATAATTTTTAATATTTTTATAATATTATTTAAGTTGCAAAAACAATAGTATTTCCATCCCTTCGCACTTTTGCTTTCAGCTTAGAGAACGAAGATGCCAGGCGAATGTATATCGAACCGCGACGATCAGCGAGGCTTTAAAGAAGGAGAAATGTCCCGACGATCTAAACAAAATGAAACGGCAATCTCACGACGAAAGTGATGAATCCAACGAAAACACGTCGAATCACGATGACAACTTGACTCTGTTTAGTGAAGAGAACACAAAACATTCTCATCATTTAAAGAACAAAAGACGCACAGACGAACACCAAAGTCGTCCAAACAATCGCGATATAAATAACCTGCGTCGTACGGAACGTCGTAGCCCATCTGATGAATACAGTCCGTACAAATACATTTCTGATCCGCTCGCTCGGTCTGAACAATCGGACAATTCAGATAACTTTGATTATTCGGACGAACCTCGTACGTCGCCGACGCACACGACGATCAATCTGCCGCTTTCGGAATCCGCTTCAGAACATCGTCCCAGAAAACCCGATTCATCTGGTCGACCTAATTATCGATCAGGTTCTAAGCCTGACAGATCGGATCCATACGGTACCGATAATGTATCCGACGACGATCTTTTCTTCGCGCCGGAACACTCCAGATCTTTATCAGGAAGAACTTCCAACGAACCTGGCATCTCTTCTCGCGGCCGTCCGGATCGATACGACTATCCTAATCAGACCGATATGTCGCGGTCTGGCAAAAGAGTGCCCAGAAGAGGCGATATTGGAATACAGAGTTTAGACGAAAAAGGTGAGTCAAATAAAAAATTGGTAAATCACTGACTCAAGTTGTGTGAGATTTGTGGTAACGTGTGCAAGTATCAATTTTTCAGTTTGTCTGACTGACAGTCAAATCGTGAAAACTCTGAACGAATTGATCAACGTCACCAAGAGATTTTGGCAGGAACTGGAACAGAATGTAAGCGAGAAGCAATATATTTTCTAGCTTTAAATAAAATTATCTCAATATGTGCGCATAATAATTTAAATAATTTATTTATATATTTTCGACATTTTGTCGAAATAAGACAATAGAGATAAAATAGTCGCAAAATGAAATTAACGACTGCTACCACCGTCTGCTTTACAGAGGCTGGAAACCCAACATCTTCGTCATTTGATCGAAAACTGCGCGGCATGTCGTGGTGAGTGACGTTCCGTCGTATTGAAAAGGACACGTGCTCTCGAAAATAATAAGTTTTTTTTTTTTTAACTTAGCCGTAACGTATCGCAAATGTCATGAACAATCATTGCATTTATCTTTGCGCGCGTCGTCTCTCGCACTCTCGAATTTAATTTAATCTCTGTGCGTGTCAGAAGAAATTACTTGTTTATATATGCAACGAGTTGTATCAATCTATCTTACAAAACGCAATAAATACCTATTGGTAGAAAAATTCCACTTTGTTGTGACTCTTGTGTGTTTCTTGCGTTACGCAATCCACGAGCTCTCTGTTTTTACACATATAGGCAATTAGTGAGATTTTTTTTTTGTGACGTTTTTTGTGACGTTAATATATATATATATTTTTTTTTTTTTCGTGCTAATTGTTTTTCGATACGACCGATTTGCAATTCGTATTCTCGTAACATCATCATCGCGAAACTCTGCTCGCTCTCCTTCTGATATTTACATTGCAATGTTCTATCGACGGAAAGTAAGATTAAGCTTGAAATCAGATTAAGCATCTTCTCTAAAACTTGATAATATTATTACACACAAAACACACACACACACACACACGTATGGCACGCGCCGGAATGTTCGGAATGCGATGCGCATATCGATGTATTGGAGAGATTATGTGCGAGATTTACGAAAGACCACCCCCGAAAATTGGCAAACTTCACTCGTCAAGTCACTCGAGCCGTGATCCCGGTAATTCCGTAGTGCGACCACCGCCGCCATCCACGTGCGACTATAAGTCCCCGTGTTACCCCGGTGCCGATTGCCGCAACACACCGAGCGGACCCAAGTGCGGTCCATGTCCCCGCGGCTACACCGGCGACGGACGGACCTGCGTCAAGATCCTCATCAGATGCATCGATCGGCCCTGTTTCCAGAACGTGCACTGCTACGATTTGACCGACGGTTACAGGTAAAACCATTATTAAAATGACGATGGATGCAAGTGTAAGAACTCACGGATTTAGAGTGCGTACGTATGTGCATAAGATTATGATGTTTAAGACATGCCGCATTTGTGTGGGTGTACAATTTGTTTTCGCAGATGTGGCAGATGTCCAAGCGGATACATCGGCGATGGCAAAAGATGCGAAAGACGCAGAAACCCTTGCGACGCTCATCCCTGTCACCCCCAAGTTCAATGCTATCCAAGCGATAGTCCGCCATATTTCAAGTGAGAACAATGTATTTTTCAAAATCATCTTTTAATTTATTAACTACAACGTTTTTTCTATGACTTTATGCTGTTTTAATAAATAAAAGACGGTAAAGTTCAAATTTTATCTTACATCATCTTTATTAATTTTAAACATAACGCAGGTGTGGTCCGTGTCCGTTGGGATTTGTTGGCAACGGTACGGTTTGCCTCGACGCAAACGAATGCGAGTTAGCTCGACCCTGTCACCCCGGAGTGCGATGCGTCAATTTACAACCCGGATATAGATGCGATCCGTGTCCACCCGGTTACACTGGACCGACAACGGAGGGTGTCGGTGTTGAGATGGCGAGAGCGCGAAAACAGATCTGTCGGGACATAAACGAGTGCGAGATAAACAACGGCGGATGTCATCGTCATTCTCACTGCATTAACACGGAGGTAAAAAATAGAGATGTGTTTCACAACAAACACACACACAAATAATCTCCATTATCGTACTGTAACTATTATGTTATTCTAACCGTTATTGTATGTTATTTTTTAACTATTATTTTTTTTGTTCCCGAAGGGATCCTACAGATGCGGCCCGTGTAAAGACAATTACGTTGGCAATCATACAGTTGGATGCTATTATCGACCGGATGTCTGTCCCGATTTGACAACAGTCTGTGATGTCAATGCTGATTGCATCTCCGCGTATTACAATCAGTTTGGGTGCAAGGTCAAATACTTACCGATATTGCGTATATCTCTTGTTAAAAACAAAAGTCATATATCTAGTTAATTAAAATCTATGCAATATTCAAAGTGTAATTGCAATTTAATGTCTCTAAGTATTTTTCTTGCAGTGTCGCACCGGTTGGGCCGGAAATGGATTCGTCTGTGGTTTCGATAGCGACAATGACGGTATTCCCGACAAAAGTCTGCAATGCAGTCATCATCGCTGTCGTGCTGACAATTGTCTTACAGTGCCAAATACGGGACAGGAGGACGCCGATAACGACGGAGTCGGTGATGCATGCGACAACGACGCCGACAACGACGGCGTGTTAAATCAGGATGACAATTGTATGCTCAATTACAATCCGGATCAATTAGACAGCGACAATGACAAGATCGGTGACGTGTGCGACAATTGTCCGCGATTCCCGAATCCGAAACAAGAGGACACCGATAACGATGGCAGAGGCGACGCTTGCGCTGACGACATTGATGCCGACGGTAACAATTGCAATATACACTCTTTGAATATAAAAAACATTACCGATACGCATGCTTCCAAAGTATAAAATTAAAATCAAAATTTTAAAAAGATAAAAAAATTACTTAACAATTCATAAAGAGTTTTAGACTCTTAAGTTACAACCTACGTTTTAGTCACGTGTTGTTTTTCCACTCCTTCCTGTTACGTGACTTTACTTTACTCACGTTTTCAAAAACATGACTACGGTAAGATCACCGACCCCGGTCGCGTGACCGCGCAGAGGTCACTGACCTCGGTCGTGTGACCGCGCGGAGGTCACGTGACTTTAGTCACGTATTTTCTACTTCTTCTTTTCTTTATTTCTCGAGTTTGATTTTCATGCATTATTTCTGTTTTAATTCTCGCGTAGGTTAAAATAAATTTTTGCAAAATCTACTAATAAAGAAATAAATCGAGTAGGTATTCCGAACGATCAGGATAACTGTCTGAAGGTGAAAAATCCTGATCAGCGCGACACCGACTACGATGGTATTGGCGACGCTTGCGACAATTGTCCGAGCATAAGTAATCCCGACCAGTCGGATCGCGATGCCGATCATGTCGGAGATGTCTGCGACAACAACTATGATCGCGACAGAGATGGCATTCAGGACAACAGAGACAATTGTCCAGATATAGCAAATCCTGGACAAAACGACATTGATCGAGATGGAATCGGTGATGCGTGCGATGATGACAAAGACGGCGATGATATACCCAACAGAATTGATAATTGTCCTCTCGTGTACAATCCGGATCAGCGTATTTCCAATCGTACGAATTCTGTCACACAGATAAGAAAATAACAATATTCTCAATCTTTCTTATCAAAATGTACGTACTGCATCGTATCTTCTGTGTATATATAGACGACGGAATCGGCGACGCATGCTGGAATGACTACGACAACGACACTTACAATAATACGATCGACAATTGTCCCAACAACAGTCGAATATGGAATACAAACTTTAACAATTACGAGACGATTGCTCTCGATCCATACGGAGAGGCACAGCTAGATCCGGTGTGGAAACTTCATAACCAAGGCGCTGAGATGCAGCAGCTTCTTAACAGTGATCCTGGAATCGCGGTCGGTGCGTTTTGTTTCTATGAGAAGGATATTAAAAGGCTAAACAAAAATCTTAAGTTAATAAAAAATAAATTTTAGTAATTAATTAATTTGAAAAACGATCACATAAATTCGTCTATTTGCACTTATCTCGCACATAGGTCCGCACGAGTTTAAGAGCGTCAATTTCGAAGGAACCTTCTACATCGATAATCAGGACGACGACGACGATTTCGTGGGTTTTATTTTTTCTTATCAGGACAATCGACACTTTTACGTTGTTAGTTGGAAGAGGGCCTTCCAGACCTATTGGGAACCGGCACCTTTCCGCGCTGAAGCCGATCCTGGAATTTATCTGAAGCTCGTCGAGTCCGAGACTGGACCGGGTGAGATGCTCAGGAACAGTCTCTGGCACAGAGACAGTGTGCCGCAGCAGACAAAGGTTCTGTGGAAAGATCCGCGGATGTTCGGATGGGAGCCGAGAGTGTCGTACAGATGGGTTTTGATACACAGACCGAAGATCGGTCTGATTAGATTCTGGTTGTATCAGGGCACGCAGCTTGTCACCGACTCGGGTAACATCTTCGACTCGACTCTACAAGGCGGCAGACTCGGCGTCTATTGCTTCTCGCAGGAAATGATCACCTGGTCTGATTTACTTTACAGTTGCAGAGGTGAGTCGAGCGCAATTATAAATGAAAATCTTACAAAAAAAAGAAAAAAGAAATTATGATAATTTATGAGTTTGTAAATCATTCAATTAGTCACACAATTGGTCTTTATAGATAAAAGAATCTCTTTGCCATGTTTTCAGAAACTGTGTCCACGTCCATATGGGAGAGCCTATCTGATCATGTAAAACCTCTAATCGAAAAGGAGCCACATATAATAGACGAAGCTACACGTTTTCGCGATATTGAATGATGTATTAATGACTACTAAAACAAACATTTTTGAAGAAGTAATTATAATATATATCATAATGGCGAGTAAATTTACGACAAAAATGCGTTTTTAAAATAAAAAGTTTAAAAAGCTCTGCCCACTTTAAATTTTAAAATTATTACATAGTGACACACCTACAATTACTATAATTAATCGAAGAAATAACATACTTTCAATGCGTCTACAAACACTTACTTTTTAAATTCGAAATTTTATTAAGAATATTAATTATAATAAATATAGTTTTTGTAAAACACAGAAACATTGAATATTTTAACAATGAATATATTTCTTCTGTTTGACGTATTATATGTATATAATTTTAGTTTTATTGAAAAAAATTGTTCAAAAATATATATCTTAGTTTCTAAATTAATATAAAACCCACGTACTTACTTTTTGCAGAGAATCGCGATCGTGATGACCAAACACTCGTCATCGAGGCGATTCTTCTTTCTTTCATCGATACGAATAGCGCGGCTATTCATATCGGACGGTTGTAACAGTATAATTGCATTTATATCTGTCTCTCTCTCTCTCTCTCTCTCTCTCTCTCTCTCTCTCTCAGATTCAATATATATAAAAATTGTTTTCGTATCAACAAAATAAAAAAAAAAAAACAATAATATTCGTGTTTTAATTTCGCATTGTTATTCACTTGAATCATATTGTTGCATAGACATATAAAGTATAGACTGGAAATTGCGAGGTATTCACTTCGCGACGCGTCGTAGACTACTTCGTGTGAATTCGTGATCGGCGGAAATATCCGAACGCTTCTCGCTGAAGTTTTACGGAATTCGACGAATTGCGAACTCACACACGGTGAGAAAAAAAATTAGGTAATATCGTATTTGTGAAACGAAATTCGAACGCCTCTCGCAGCCTCTAGTTCGCGTTGATCCGCATTTTTACGATTGTGTCGATTGCGACACATATAAGCGATGCAAAAACTCATGTCGCAGAAATTATGGCAAAAACGAAAATAACCACTCAATGACCACNAAGCAAAACTCACATACGTCGCACATTCAGCGCGCACGTTTGTTTGTTCGCGGCGCGAAGCTTACTTCACCCTTGTCGTCGCAGACTACCGACGCCGAAACGATTTTTTCTAGCGATGTCATTGTTGACGGTCGTAATTTCCAGTCTATACTTTATATGTCTATGTATTGTTGCAATATCCACAGCGCTACTATTAAAACAATATAAAATCGAAATTTTATTTAGTTCATCTCTGGGAAAAGAATTAATTAGCAATGATCAGGGCAAAATCTCGTGCGTAAAATAATAAAATCACATAAAATTTTTTCGATTAAACATTTTTATTCGTACGAAAATGTCAAAGAAAGATATACGATATTAATAATTTATATAACGCCGAAACATCCGTTCTCTCTCTCTCTCTCTCTCTCTCTCTCTCTCTCTCTCTCTCTCTCTTTCTCTCTTTCTCTCTCTTCGTTCTCATAATACACACGTTCTCTAACAGCAAAGTGTGTTTTACAGACTTCACCGTTTAAACGGCTATGTAGAATTACACTCACAACAACACGCATGCGAAAAAGTGAAATTTGCACGGATAAAATACTAGAGACTGAAAATCTTGGTTTGGTCGGAAAGGATCTAAAGAGAGAATCAAACGCAAGATTCGTGGATTCCACAGAGATGTGGGATAAAAGAATGACGAGAAAAAGGCGCGCAATACGACTAATGAATGTCTTGTGTAATATATTATTAAATTCGAATTTATTGATTTCTTTTCAAATTAACTTGACGAGTAGGTCACAGGTTAATGATTCTTATGTGAAATTGACATAAAACAGTCTTCTTACAATGCTTGTTCCCTTGCCGTTGCAATGTTCGACACGCAAAATCGCGAAACAATCTCCTGTCACCTTCTTCTCGATGGACCCTCTCTCTCTTTCTCTCTCTCTCTCTCTCTCTCTCTCTCTTCCTTCTCTGTCTTACTCTGCGCTCTCTAAACCTCGAGAGATATCGACTATTCTCTATAAACGCGAGCATCGCGCTAGTACGAGAGTTGAATCGTGTACGACAATATACGTGTGATATTATATGTATATGTTGTTATATATACGAGAAGAAATTTTTTTTTAGCTAAAGAATAAATTATTAAAATCTACGTAATAAGATTGAGAGAAGAAACGGGAGACGAGGGACGAGTCTTACTTACTTATCTATTTACACTAGAAGAAACGAAATGCACGAATGCACCGCATGCTCACGGTGAAACGCCAGGGACGCTCGAAATCAGCGTCTCTGATAGTAAACGCGCGGGACGCTCGAGGCTTCGCTCTCTCTTGTTTCTTTTTTTTTTTATTTTCTTTTTTATTTTTTTATTTTCTCAAGTAACATCGTGCTCGCGACGCACACGTTACAGCAGTGGTCGCTCAGAACTTGCTGATTAAGGCAGTCGAGCACATCTCGAATACGAAAAAGGAAGTGTCTCTCGCAGCGAGGAACGCGCGGGTTTGCAAGAATTCGCGGCTGCGGCTCGTCAGCAACATTCGCTGACATTCGATTGGGGGAGCAGTCTTTGTTTCGTAAAACTTTATCGCAATCACCATCACCATCATAAGTAAAATTTATTTGTTTCGTTATCGTAGTGATTGCTGACTCTATTCGCTGGCATCTTACAACAATCGACGTTGATTTTTAACTGGACGATGATTTAATCAACTCCGCGTTTCGACAGCTTTTTCTTAAATCAGTAGCAAGTCAGGTTTTGTAAATCAGAAGAGATATTGTAGGACGGTTTCTCGTGCGGGATTACTCCTCTGTTTACTTCGTTACCGACACGTGTCACGCTCTGCTAGCAAGAAGTCTCTTTTTCGCGACGCGACAAACATCGAAATAACGTTCGTGCGACAATCGACGCAAATAACAGTAAATGTTTACTTACACGATTTTTACTAATGAAACGATTTAAGGAAACAAACTCGACAAATATATATATATATACGTAAATACATGTTAAAATTTTAATCTCCATCAAAAAATGGTATTAATCACTAAAAAGAGACGTATAAAAAGATGATGGATTTTATCCGAAGAATCGGACAAAAAGCTCGGAAGATACATATAGTTACATTTTTTTTTTTTTTTTTTTTTTACAGCGTAAAATCGAAGAAAACCGATTCGCTTTTTTTTAGAACTAAAAGAGTTGAGAAAAAACTTACCAAAGTTATCGTTAAAGTTGACATACGCTCGATGAAACCGCGGTTTCAGTCGCGTAAATGGTCGTTAAACGCGGATTGGTCGCTTTAAACACAAATTATTGCGGCACAATGACGCCGCATCTGTCTTCACGCAAATGTTTTCCTCGTCCATTTCCGGACGGCGCTCGACAACTTCCAACGCGAACCCATCCTCGCATTTTTCACGACTCTAATCGTTCTTCTCGACGTTTCTCGCTCGATGGATTCGCATTTTATGCAAATGCCGACAACATCGCTACTCTACGCTCGTCGTTAATCTTTATTCGCTCGCGCGACGCGCATCTTTCCTGGAAATTGACGTCTCGAGGTTCGCGACTCTTGGAATGTCCAACTGAAAAATTGTTTTTTCGTCAACGTGGAAGGTAAGACGTCTGAATTTAATGCTTAGCGCGGTAGAACGCACATTCCGCTTTTCGAAAGAGAAGTAAGTTGTAAATGTAAATAGTGAGTAATATTTTTTTTTTGTTTTTTTTTTTCGGTAAATATCTAGCGAAATTGGAAGATTAAATGAACACGCAGCTCGATCAATAGTGATCCATCACACACTTATCACTCTAAAGAATCTTTCGACCGTTTGAACCAGAACGACGAGTACAGGTACAACATCGAAGATATTTTGCACAGACTCGACGACGGATTCTTCACTCTCTCGTTTCTTCATATTGTGTTCAGCGAAAGAGACCTCGTTCGTTCTCCCGGCAAGTTTTTTGAACGATGATAAACGCATCAGCTTCAGCGATTGCTTTGCTGACTCATAGCGAAAACTTTTCACCTCGATATTCAAACCGAAGCAACCGAATATAAGAATATCGTTATATTTCGCGTGTCGGCAGTTACTCCGAATTAATTTTCGTACGACCAAGCACCTCAGCGTTGTTTCATCACTTCTGCCTTATAATGTAGGCAACAACTGACAGATATTAGTTTAGAGTGGTGTAAAGAACTTGGCCAACGTTGAGTAACTCGCTGGCCGTGCACTCGGGTCACCAGGCCTCCGTGTATCGAACATCGCATTCCTGCAGATCCGGCAACCGCTTCTTCAGAGACTCGAACGTCTGGGCCGAGAGTTTCGTACTGTTCAGATTCAATTTCTTTAGGCTGGTTAATGCTGTCAACACAAAAATCATGATCGAATAAAATTAAAAATTAGACGTACACGATCGCCGAACTCGAATCGATTCTTTTTCAAAATCTGCGAGAAAAATTAATCTCAATTTGAAACTATCAATTTTATCTTTTTCTCTTTTCTTTCACAATGACGCGTTCGCAGAGTTTTAATATTTCAGAAGAACTGTGTAAATACTCACAGGCCAACATCGAGATGCCTTTGTCGGACACTGGCGTCTCGCAGAGATTCAGCACCTGCAGCTGCTGCAAATGCTCGCTGATCAGTTGTAGGCCGGCGTCGCCGAACTGCGTGGCCCAAAGATTCAGGTACCTCAGAGCCGGAAGCTTGATCAGCTGTTCCGCGCACGCGGACGTTACGGAAGTGAAGGCGAGGCTGAGGCATTCGAGATTACCGAGGGCGCCGCCACCCAACAGAACGGCGACATCGGCGTCGGTCGCTCGCACCGGTAGCGTCAATCTCCGAGGTCCGCCTTTTTGTTGCTACCAAGATCAAATCACACACACGTTGAACGTATATACGAGGATTGAAAGAAACGCGAACAAAAAAAACAACATCCAATTTCCACGTTGAATCTCGAAATGAGTTTCGCGCGAATTCGCCTTACCAATTCCTGCAAATTTTTCTGCTTCTGGCAGAGAGCAGCATAACGCTGCTTCCCGGATGTTGTGGACTCGAGCGCGTTAATTATCTGAAGCCTCGCTTCCTCGTTTGGCAGTAAACACCACTCGAGCATCAAACAGAGGACGTCCTGCGCCGCCTCGCAATCCCGCACCGCCAGCAAAATGCAATCGTTGACCATCGGTAGCACGGTTGACACAAATTTCTTCCGCCTACAGCAGCATCCCAGCATAGTCGTGAGCTGCGTGAGTTGCGGAAAAATAATAAAATATATTTTTACCTCTTATGGAATTCCCTTCCTGCACTGCACGAGAGTAATAGAAAATTATTATCTTTATTTACATATTTTATAATGACAAATAAATAAATAAATATATATATATATATATATATATTTCCGTACTACTTAAATATATATTTTGTTAATTATATTTTGTTATGGGATTGAACGTAAATATATGTACACGTACAATATTCTGTTATTTGTTAAATCCGATGACTGATAGAGAAAACTTTATTTATTCATTTAATTTAAACGAAGCAAAACGCGTCCCGAGCAAATGCGCATCGTTAAAATTCCCCGATAATAGAAACTGGCGATGGAGGATTATCGTCAGCTGGAATCAGATTTGCGCGATACAAAGATCATCCCATCGTTTCCTGTTCCATTCACTTTCCCGCAATCAATCCAGTCAGATCTCAATAATTCGTGCGTGGTCGTGACGATTCATTTCCGGTTATGTTGAGATTGAAATGGATGCTGTCAATATTAAATTCTATTGAAAGCTGCGCGTGTCGCTTCTCAAAAGAGCGATTCATGAATATTCAGATGAGCCGTCCGATCGAGTCGCCGCGCTTGCGTTTGCTCGCGCGCGATTAATTGTTCCCGAACGAGGCGCACACTCTTCCTCGTTATCGCTCACACAACATCGAAGCGGCGTGATTCGAGACGCCTGGCTCGCGAAATTGCGAACACCACAATCGTCCCACGTGCGAATAAATTTGTTGTGCCGATAAGCGCCGATATAATTGCGTTTTCCCGTTTGCGTGCATGTTCGTCGTATAGTTTGACATGTGCATATCTCGCTCAAAATGTAAAATGCGAAACGAACGATTGCAAAGAAACAAGACATTTAAAAAATAAATAAAAAGCTTTGAAAAACTTTTTGCAATCAAAATTTATTCTTTCGTAATTATCTCACCACAATAGAAATTAAATCAGTATTTGGTCATTCTGCTCACAGTTTTTTCCAAATATATTTCTACTTTGCTTATGAAAAACTAATTAGTAAACATGTCTTACCGTTTCGCCGAATAATTCTCCGCTATCTGGACAGGCTGGGTGACACGGCGCGGTGATGTGAATCCAACCGACACGCGGTTCTCTCACGGGCAGCAACATGCGGTGCACCGTGCACCTCGAATCCTTCGCCAGTCGTCGCAGGACAACGGACATCACGGACTCCTGCACCTCCTTCATAGTCAGAGCCTCGTCCGGAAATGGAATCGGCTGCAAAAGCGCTCCGAGACCCGGAAGCCAATCGGTGTACTCCGATCTGAAACGCGCGCGTCGTTTCTCGATCAAGTAAATTTAGAACCAACCAGGTTTTTGTCAATTGAATAACACCATCTCTCGATTCGAGTTTTACTGATACACTTGAAGCACTCACATGATGTTCAAGACGAACAAGTAGCACTGCAACGGCGGTAGCAAAGACGGTTTGTCTTCGTTCGACAAAGCGCGACTCGACACCTCGAACCTGCGAAATCAAAATCGGCATCTCTTTCAAAATGTCTTTTTGATCTAAAAATTATACGCGCTAACAATCCAGTTGTTTCAACAACTGAAACTTGCCTGTAAAATATGGCCGCGACGCAGGTGGCCACCAGATTGGGAAGTATCCGCGGATGTGGACAATCGCTGCCCGGTCCGTGAACCGACAGGATGTATTCCCTGATCGCCTGTTCACCATTGTTGTTCTCGTACAAAGCGGCTACAAACACCTACATGCACGCAACGCAACGTCATAACTGCGCATATCACAGATTTCATTAAATATATTAAAAAAAAAAAAAAAACAATAAATAATAAATATATGTAAAAAATATGCAACAAAAATAAAACAATTGCGTTACTAAAATACTTGAAAAAAAATGAAAAACGATAGAAATAAAATATTTTTTTGTAATAAATAATAGACGAAAACAAAGAAATATTTTTCGATTTCAACGCACGAGATGAATGCGTATAAATAAGTAAAATACCGAGACGAAATTATAATATAAACACGATCGAACGCCCACCTGCAACAGCCGTCTCATGTCCGGCGACTTGCCAAAGTCAACGGTGTGCTTCAGGCATCTCGTGATTGCCGGGGTGATCATCCGGACCAGTTGCGAGCGCGGATGCTGCTGCACCAATCTGATGAGAACTCGCGCGAGCGCGGCCGGCGGCACCGCTTTTTCTAAGAGAGGAGCCACCACGGCGAGCACGGCCTCTGCTCGGCTTCTTTGATCGCAAACAGTCTCCTCGGTCTTTGACGGGTCGACCACGTCGACTTCCGGACCGAGATCTTCCAGAATTTTAGCGGCCGCTTCCAGCGGCGCGCCCGCTACCCTCTCGTCCTCGAGCGGTGACCATTGAGCGAAGTCCACCATGTTGCGCAATTCACGAAGCAAAACGTCCTCTCGAGTGCTCACCGATACCAGAAGCTGATATTTATAGATGTTTTTCTGCGAATAAACGCGTTTCGATGCGTTTAAGTATGACCGCGAGTCCGGATTTTAATTAGCGAGTTAGCGAAAATTTTCAGTAAAAAAAATTCAAAGATATCAAATAACGAAGCAAGTCGTAAAACTGTTTCCTTTCAAGCCCAACATCTGCCGTAAACAAATTGTAATTAAATTGGATACAAAATTCTATCGGAACGAAAAATGAAATTTAACATGTTTATTTCTCCCGTTATTCAAGGTCTGACAACTCGACATTGCAATTAAATTCGAACAAAAACGAAGTGAAAAAGAAAAATTCTCGCTTTAATTCTCGAATAAGGTCGACGACGCAAAAGTCATTGACATTCAACCGTGCGTCGATGTACAGACGCTTTTTTCCCATCGGGAACGCAACAGGACAAACAAGAAAATTCAATCAATCGTTACGACCGCCACGCGTCGCAGCCACAAGACGAGAGAGCGGCTGATTAATTTCCCGTCCGGATATTGTGCCGCTCGCGGCAGGCACCATAAAACACTGACATATCCGGGAGATTTGATCCTGTCGAGGACGATCGAGAACATTCGCCTCTCTCGCGCGCTGTTATCACTTCCTCCCCCCTCCCTTGTTCCAGCCGCACATTGTCGGCCGTTAATAGCGGCTATGTTTGCTCGAGCCAACGTCAGGCGCAATGAAAGATCGATATTAAAAAAATACATTTGATGTGTTTATATCCGCAAGTCAATAACACGAACCGTGCGAAAAGTGCAACGCTATCTCTCTGTATATTGTTTGCTCGATAAGCTTTTTGAAAATTAACGAGGATAATTTTATCGCATTTTATTTTCATCAACGGTAATAAGCAACGGTAAAATTTATTAATTATAATATTGCGAAACACTCGATACACTTGAATCAAAATTAGCTTAATTAATTTCAATAACACAAACGCTTCTACTCAAACATTTCACATCAACACAAATATATTGCGCGTAAATGTTTATCAATCTAAGTTATTTCATGCAATGCGGATAGCAATTAAGAGAGCGAGAGAGAGGTATGTTAAATAGAATATAATATCGGAATACACACGGAACGCAAACTACGCGTGATAAATATATATCCTGCATTAACGCAAGCTGTTTGCAGATAATTACATATAAAAATAATATGTGTATAATACGATAATATTGTATCAACGAACCTTCCACAAAATCGAGTGATACCACTGGTCTCTCGTGTAAGCGTTGCTGGCTTGCAGGAGCAGCGTGCCGTCCGGCAGGACAATGCTAAGGCAGTTTTTGTACGCGGGATCCCATCTGGTGACCACGTACTTTCGAACCTCCGATATGCTGTTGTAATGAATAGGTTGCTGAAGAAGCGAACCGGTGAGCTGGAAAGAACGAATCGGTCACGAGTTTTGTATTGCACAAAAAAAAAAAAATCTTTCATTTCACAAACATTACTCGAGATGATGATATTCTAAAGAGCTTTTTTTTTTTTTTTTTTTTGCGCTACTCGTTGCTAAATAAAACTGTGATGACACAAATGCGTCTCGGCTAAACGAGACGTACGTCAACATTAGGCACAAAAATATAATTTAAAGTAATAATTAGATAACAGGTCGCAGCATTGTTGCTCGCACTGATCTAAGATAAGAAAACTAACTACTTAATTTTTATACAATACGTCAAGAGATTAAAAAAACATAAGTATAAAAACCGTACATTCTAATAATAACTCGTTAATTATCTGTGTACGTCACTGATCGATGTTTGCTCCAGCTTCATTTATTATGTAAACTGTGAACCGAGATTAACGTGTTGCTTAAATATCAATATGTTAGGATTAATAATATGTTATTTCGAAGTCTCTCGCGCATACAGACGAAAGAAATCTACGTTAATGATCATTTTGCATCTGTGATTTCACGATAAAAATATTCCGGCGACTAATTCCTTTCGTAAATTGGCCAGCCGGAACACACACACACACACACAGTGTGTGTCTAATCGTTGAAAAAAAAAAAAAAAAAACACATCCATTATTTACAGAAAGAAATCCATTATTTGCACCTCGATCGTCAATCATTTCCCGCTTTGTGTCACTTATAATCGCGGATTATTAGTCGCCGTTTGACGTATGTATGAACTCGGCAAATAAACACGCGTCATCGCCGATTATATAAATTTATCTGCATTCGGCTGATATAATAATAAGAGCGTGCGCTATCACACGCACGTAACGTTGGCGAATTATTTCGCGAAAATTGTATCAACTCCGATATAACGATTACATTCGGGTTTATTGCGTTAAATCGTACATCATCGTGTATCATCGATTGGAATAAAAAAAAAAAAACCCAAAGTCAATTATGTTTCTTGTGTCTTGAAAAAATAAAACCAAAGAAAAATATCTCCGTTTTTTTTTAAACAATCGCAGGCAAAATTTATTTATAGAAATCTCATTACATATTTTTCCTCTTTTTTTTTTTTTTTTCATCTTTGACCTTGACGAACTTTTTGCGCCAGTCTCTAACACCGAGTCTAGTTACACAACGGACTTTCGACAAGTACCGAACAATAATCTTCGGGAATGATGCAATCGCACTTGTTACAACGAAGCATATGAATGTGTAAAGTGATACACGGCGAATCTGGTAACAAAAAACGCTGACTTGGCAAAGGAGTGAGAAGAGGCAGCGCGGAAAGATGAGGGACAGGAGGAGAAGAAGCGAGTGAATTGAGGGAGAAGTTGCATAATACCACCCTGATGAGGACAATGCGCTCTGGTTCGCGCATCTCGGTCTGACGGTGTTTTTTGTCTCGAGTTCCAAGAGCGATGTGACGAGAGGAAGCAAAGGAGGATGAGTGATGGTGGTGGTGATGTTGTGTGTGTGTGTGTGTGTATGTTTGGTTGATTGCGATATACACATATCTGCGTCTGTGTGAATGCCGGCGCGCGAGTGTCGTGTAATATCGGACACAGAGAAAGAGAGAGAGAGAGACACGCGCGAGCATCTGCGTGTGGAATAGCGAGTGACGTCAGCACAGGGCTGGCGCGAATCTAGGCCGAGGGTTGAACGACTGTTCGAGCGGGCACGGCCGAATCTAGGACACCGCATCCCCCGTTTCTCGACGAACGTCCGCGACCGAAAGCATCAGAATTCGTGCGAGAGCGCGAACTATCTTGTTACGCGCGCGCGATCAGACGTTACTTCGTATGTATTTTAAATCCGCGAGATTACCGTATTGAATTGGAAAGAAAAAAGAGAAACGCGGCAAAAATAGGGATCATTCATGGAGGAAAACATCGCGCGATGCATCAACCCCCGGTGCCGAGCGTCGATAAACGCAGATAAAACGCTCGCGAGGAGAAGCGCAGAAACAATCGATCGTTGTTTGCGGAATTGAGAATGAAAAAGTTCGCGGAGCGGTTAAAAAAACGTGATTCTCTCAATTGATACGCCCGTAATGCGAACTGAACTCCATTCACAATGAATAAAAATTCACTCGTCGATCAAATGTTTAAATAAAATGAACTTAATTGCGCGTATATTATAATATCACATGTTTTATACGGATCGGAGCAACTTATTCATATTTTAAAGTAGAAAATAAGGCCGATACGAGCAGTGAGAACCGGTTGGTCGTGTTCAAATAAAGACTTTATTCAGTATAAAATACAAACGTTTCGGTCCCAACAATATTGGACCTTCCTCAGTGTATAAAAAATTAGATCTAATAATAGAAAAAATAATAATAATAATAAATGGAAAACGCGCAATTTGTACATTAAAGAATTATAAAAAAAAAAAACAACGTAATATTACACTCACTTAATAAGCTTAAACTCTCCACATCACTACGCAGTAATTCAGACTATAGTCTGAATAAATTGAGCAATTCTTTGACTATATAAGTATGGACTGCTAGTTCCCCCCACTTTTCCCATTTAAGCAATGTATAAGCAGCGTAGGTAACATAGATAAGAAATAGGCACCGCCTTTGGGCCAAAAAGCGGGAAATTCAAATATAGTTCGAGAAAGTAAGTA